GGCCAGAGGGAGAAGCAGACTCCCCGCCAAGCAGGGAGCCCATTGCGGCACTTGATCCCAGGACTCCAGGATCGTGACCTGAGCCGAAGGCAGTCGCTCAACCAACTGAGCCACCCAGGCGCCTCTCAAACTGTAACTACTTTAAGTTCAATTACAGAACCCACTCAGTGCAACGTTCAATCTGGCAGTTCAATCCTCCTCATGGTAACTGTACGGTGAGAGCTAAAAATATTTTTTATATGCTGATCAACATTTGGCAGTAACCTGTGATGTTAAAGGTCTGAGGAATGCGAGTTAAGAACCACAGCATTAAGATATATTTTCAAAACAGCAAGCATGTCAGTACTTGCAACTATATATATATATATATATATAGTATTTATGTATACATGTATATATGCATGTCTCCATATACGAGGGCACCTGCTTTCCTCCTGCCAGATCTGCCACAGGTGGTCAGTAGCATCACAGTGGTTCAGTGGGGAAGTGTAATAGGTGGTTTCTTTCTTTTCAAAAGAACTTAAAATATTAGGCAAAAATGAAAATGAAACTACCTTGAAATGGAGAAAATCTGTACTTGCCCATGACTAATTTCTTTCCAGTTAATGTGTTATTTCACAAGCCAAAAATAACTTTTTCATATAAATGCAATACCAAGATTGAGCATTAAATATAAAAAAGTAATTTTGCAAAAACAAATCTAGCAGATATACAATGCTGTAGCTTTAATAATAAACTTCTAAATAACGTAACTTTTAAGTAAATATTAAAAGTGACAAATAGAATTATTTTTATTCATAAAGTTTTATCTGCCATATCCTATTTTACCAACCCACATCTGTACTCTTTAAGAACCTTTATAACTTAAAGAAACACTAACATGTAAGATTAGCTAGGTATAATTTTCACATATCTATATGCTGGACTCAGTAAGGCCAGGGGCCAGATTTCTATTCAAGTTCAACCTCCTGGAATAAAGTTCTAAACCTAGAAATCCACAAAAAAAAATGCTTACGAAGCGTTAACATAGATGACATAAATTCATGATTTTACTTAGTAGGAAGGGCACACAGGTCCTCACGCCAAGTCTAAGGGCTCTTAGTTTTAATTCACAGGCCTAACAAGTTTAGCTATGCCAGAAGGCTGGAAGGCGAGAGGGCCAGAGGCAGACGTGTGCACACAGACATCCTGACAGGATGTCTGACAGGAAAGGAGATGACAGGAATCAGTACTACAGCATAGCCAGGCCATTCAGTACAGGAATTACGAGCCCCAGCCAGGGTATCAGCTTAACAACCATACTGAAAGGAAAATCCTGAGGCACTGTAAGGTTAAATTATACTCACTATACTCTACTAAATAAGGTTGGGGAGGACACTATTTTAGAAAATGTTACCCAAAAAATTAATCTTTGAAAGTGTGGAAAAACAGACTTTGCATATAGGAAGACCTTGTACAGCTCTGGGTTCCTCAACAATAAAGACCCCACAACATTTTTCTGACTGAATATGGTAATGTAAATCAGGCTCCCAGAAAGCATCTTGAACGTATATAGGAGGTTTTTAATAAGTGGTGGTATTTTTCATTACCAGTAACAATTAAAAATAGGTTTCCCTTATCTGAAAACTTCACTTCCCGTGGAATATCGAATTTCCTGATCATATAAGAGAAAAATCACTGTACCTGGTTTTAAATTCTGTATTAAAAGCCAAACACATTACAAAAAGCATTATAACCTCTAAATATATAAAAGCAATCAAGACATTCTTCCAAAAATTATCTGGAAGCTTAAAATAGTTTCCTGATTTTGGATATCAAATTATTTGGTTTTGTCTTTAGAAATAACTAAGCATCTTGTCAGTATGGAAATGCTACATAAGACTCATTAGCTATATACTCTCTTTCAGGTTATATATACAGCCAAATCTCAAACAAAAATAACAGTTTTGAAAACATACACAAAACGAGGAACCACAATGGGTATGTAATTTTAACGCTTTGGTAACAGTTGGCTGTCACTGTTCTCTTTTGCTTTTACATCTACTTAGATGCCAAAGAGAACCCACTAAATTTAATAAAATGCCCAAAGAGTTCATTGATATAAAATGTGAGACTTAGTGAGGCAGATCAATCACTTGCAGGTAAGTCTAACGCAGCAGAATTACGTCACTGGTATGAAAGGAGCTAACACTTCCAAGCAGGCATTTAGGCAATGTGCTGGGTGAGACAAAATCTCAACCTGCGGGTTATGATACCACCTCCGGTGTCGATCACTCAATGATAAATCAATATACTCAAGAGTACTTCCTATTGTTCTCCTCAACACGCAGTCTTAGGTGGGGGATGGAAGATTCGTGTGACAAAGGCAATCAGAGAACTAGTGAAGGATTCAAATTATGGTAGATTTTACTTACTGCATTTAATAGTAATAGTAATAGTAACACAATGGCACCTAATTTACCAATGTGAAAATTATACAGTGAGCCTAGGCTTTCAACCAGGTAAATGAATTAAATTATACGCCATGTCTACTACCTAGAAGCTAAATCCTCTTGAAAATATTTTTAACAACCCAAACAAATATTCTGATTAAAGATCCAAGCACTGAACTAACCACTCCAAACAACATATAAATTTTAATACTAACATTATGAAAATGGTTATCTTCTCAGACAGAATTACAAAACTGTTGAATAATTCTGTTTCTTTCAATGAGCTAAATATCTCCCTGTATACCCAAAAAGGTAGTAAACTCAGTTGGGTAGTGGGATCCTCTTGCTCAGAACAGTTACTCAGGGACACAGAGGTCACCAGGAGAGAGGGAAGGGCCAGTTTTAAATGCAAACAGTAATATAAAGAAAATTACCCACAAAAAATCCCAAGCCCAAATGAATTCAACCAAACATTTAAAGAATTAATACCAACTCTTCACAAACTCTTCTAAAAAGAGAGGAAAATACCTACCAACTCATTCAATGAGGCCAAGTATTACCCTGATATCAAAATGAGACAGAGACATACAAGAAAACTACAGGTCAGTATCAGTTAGATGCAAAAATCTCAACAAAATACTATCAAACCAAATCCAACGATACATTAAAAAATCATTCACCACAATTAAGTGGTGGATTTATTTCCAGATGCAAGGGTGGTTCAATAATCACAAATCAATCAACATGACATATCCCATCAATAAGAGAAAGGATAAAAGCCATATGATCATCTCAATAGATACAGAAAAAGCATTTAACAAAGCGCACACACACACACACATATGTTCTTTATATATATATAAAGAACATATACTACTCAACACCCAAAAAGCAAATAATCCAATTAAAATGGGCAGAAGACATGAACAGACATTTCTCCAAAGAAGACATCCAGATGGCCAACAGACACATGAAAAGATGCTCCAACATCATCACCTCATACCTGTCAGAATGGCTAAAATCAGCAACACAAGAAACAACAGGTGTTGACGAGGATACGGAGAAAAAGGAACCCTCGTGCACTGTTGGTGGGAATGCAAACTGGTACAGCCACTATGGAAAACAGTATGGAGATTCCTCAAAAAGTTAAAAACAGAACTACCCTATGATCCAGCAATCACACTACTATTTACCAAAAAAAAAACAAAAAACAAAAAAAAACAAAACCCCAAAAAAACACAACCCCAAAACACTAATTCAAAGGGATACATGCATCCCTATGTTTATAACAGCATTACTTAAAATAGCCAAATCATGGAAGCAGTCCAAATGTCAATGGATAGATGAATGGATAAAGAAGATGTGATATACACACACACATACATACACACTGGAATATCATTCAGCCATAAAAAAGAATGAAATCTTGCCATTTGCAATGACATGGATGGAGCTAGAGTATAATGCTAAGTGAAAGAAGTCAGAGAAAAACAAATACCATATGATTTCACTCATATGTGGAATTCAGGAAACCAACAAAACAAAAAATGAGCAAAGGAAAAAAAAAGAGAGAGAGACAAACCAAGAAGTAGACTCTAACTGTATAGAACAAAATGATGGTTACCAGAGGGGAGGGGGTGAGGGGGATGGGTGAAATAAGTGATGGGGATTAAGGGCACTTGTCATGATGACCACTGGGTGATGTACGGAAGTGTTAAGTCACTATATTGTATACCTGACACTAATATAACATTGTACATTAACTGTACTGGAATTCAAAATAAAATTTTAAAAAGTTAGAACAAGCTGCAAAGTGGTTAAATTTTAAGTACCTTTGCTAGCTATGTTGGGATGTCTGGCAAAAAGTATTATTTATTATTACTACTTTTATTAGGGTTAGAACAACTTGAGAGAGGAACAATAACAGAGTTCTAACTTTAATTCTCAAATCATTTAGAACATGCCCTGACTTTGAAAATTCAAATACATAATTAAGATAATAACACTCAACTCAGGTTTACTTATGGGATTTCCTGTAAACTTCACTATATTTCCATCACCGTCTGTTTTATCATTTTGTAAGAAAGCTGAGTTTTAGACTCCACAATAGGATAAATGTTTCCAAATTGTGTATGAGCATTCACAATGGCTCCTAAGACCTTGAATCAAGAAAATTATCCATTTCTCATTAAAATCTAAAATTCACTATGCTTCACAATGCTTCAAATACAGAGTAGCATTTCTCTTTGAAACCGTGGTTCTAACTTGCAGTACATAGTGGTTTTTGTCCTTATTCTGACAGTTAGATTAAAATTGACACAGAGCCAGGGGCACTTGGGTGGCACAGTTGGTTAAGGGTCCAACTCTTGGTTTTGTCTCAGGTCGTGATCTCAGGGTCATGAGATTGAGCCCCGCATCAGGCTCAGAGCCCAGCAAAGAGTCTGCTTCAGTTTCCCTCACCCTCTGCCCTTTCCCGCTAGTGCGCTCTCTCTCCCCCTCTAAAATAAATAAATCATAAAAAAACAAACTCTACAGCAATTACTTTCCCAACAGAGTAATCGCACTTACGTCAATATCCTCTTGTGTAAAAGTTTCTGGATCTTCTCCCATCATGTTGGCTAAATGTCTCTTTCCTATGTTGAACTCTTCAATCTGCTTTTTAATAAAATCCACTGTGTAAGTTTCACGTCTTAAGGCTGCAACATTTTTCTTTGTTGTTACACCTGTGGTGTGCCTTAGCCTTAATATCTAGCAGAAAATATAAACAAAAAGAGAAAAGATTTTAAGTTAAATAATGATCTTGTACGCCACGGTCTTTAAATAAAACAGGATGTTCAAACAGTTGTCTTTATTATAGTACTCAATTGGCAAGTCTGGGAACAGGTAAAAGGCCTGTTAAGAATGCTGTTAGAAATTGTCCTCCGCTCAAAAGCTTGCTTTTAAAAGCCTCTCCTTACACAGTAGTTTAAACTACTGGCATTTCAACACATTAAAACCCAAAATACCTGTAAGTAATATGCTACCCTCCTTATCTACTACAAACATCCACATTTGATACCGATGGATCAAGGTCAACTAGTTGTGATATTTGACACGCAGGCAATGAAAAGTAAAATGCCACTCCCTTAAAAAGAGGCAAATGCACATGCAGACAGAACCCAGCAAGCAGAAGTCAAGGGAAGGAAGGAGCATGTACTGGGGGACAGCACACTTAGGCTACTGGTAGTCACCTTGTTTAAGGGTACAACTATCGCCCATCTTTCAATGCCTTAAAATAATAGTTTAGCTTAGCTTGAGACTATTCTGTGGTCCTTATTTTAAGCTGATACAGAGAAGAAACTGCTTCACCAAGCACTGACATGATTTATCATTAATTTGGTTCAATACACTAACTTAAAGAAATAAGGGCTTTCCCATCCTTTTAAACTATCAGTAATGATATCACACTTGCTGCTGTTGATCCTTTTATGCTGTAGCACTAGGAATTTCCCCTCAAGGCATTAATAGTTCACCTACAATAAAGGGTGCTAAAGAACCAGAAAAATAGTTTCAAATGACCGTTCAGCCACATTCAGTAGCTGGATATAACTAGAACAGATATTTCTGGTCCTGGCTTTTTTCAAAATCTTAATCTGTGGTTCTCGAATTTCAAACCAGCCTCAACAATTTTAAGCACTCTTAAGCAATTCAGACCTTAAGAACTGTAATTCTTAGTAACTCATTCACTTCCCTTTTCATTACCATAAATTCTCTTTCGTGCATACCAACACCAACACCATCCCTGCCTCATCCATTCCCTAACCCTTCGTGAATCAGAGATTCAAGTAACTAATAATTTGTTACTATAGTAACAATAAGAAGCAGAAGAAAAAATACAGGACAAATATTACAATAACCTATTAATAGTAAAAATTATGTTCTTAAACTCTCACAAATCAAAATAGTGATAAAATGATTTCTTGCTACTCTTAAATGAGTAAGATAGGGAAGGCATTTTAAAATTCCATGAAATTTTATAGTTTATTTTTCCTCGGGGGAGCACAAAGGAGTTTCTCTCTTTATATTATTGAGAATCTTAAGATGCTTTATAAAGATACAGTGTCACTATCAATCAATCAGTAAAAACATGACCCAAACTTGCTTACGTATAGTTAGCCTGCCCTTATACAGCCTCTTTGTACATCCCTGTTACCTCTCCCCACCGCCAGTGCCAACAGCACCAAATCCTCATCTCAAGAGTTTACCATCTTACTATATTTTTACTTTTTCCAGGGTTTTGCTTCTGTTTCTTTCTTTCTTTTTTTTTATGATTTCATGTTTTCTTTGAATACGGGAAGATGTTGCTTCCCGTATTCAAAGTGAAGAGAAAATGCCTGTCTGCGCCAAGAATCATGGAAAAGCTATGGATCTAGAGGAGAAAGCGGCTGTCACTCAGTAGAGCTGATTTTCCCCAATGTTCCACTGCCAAAAGGATGATTATGTTGCTGGTTTTGTAGGTCATATGACAAGATGCTTTGGTCCATAACTAAACAATCCATTTGTAATACAGGTGACCCCACTACACTTCCCACCGATCACCCAACCACAGCCCTCAGGAGAAATGAGTCTCCCAGTGAATATGGGGGACTTTCACTCACTGAAGTAATGAGTTCTAAAGAAAGAGTAAGATTAGGAAGAAAGTGATGAGTTCAATTTGGGGCATGACAAGTTTGAGATGCTTGATGGGCATCCCAGGAGAGATAGGTGTCCTGGAGGCAGATGGCTCTGTGGGTGTGTACACAGGAGAGATCTGAGCTAGAGATGCCGTCTGTTAATAATCAGCGTGGGACGTGATGCGACACCATCAAAGTAGGGGAAATGGCAGGCATTAATGTTAGAATAAGAAACATCTATTTTACTATGCAAAGAAACAACACAGTTTGTGAGGGAAAGTAGACGGAAAGGTAAGATTGCTTGTCTTATGACCACTTTTTTTTTTTTTTTTTATGAAACAGGACAAGAGATGGGTCTTCAGAGTAAGGGGAGACAGGTTTGATGGACTGAATACTTCATATTCAAAGAGCAATGATACAGTGGTTGTAAAGTAGACAGAACAATTAAAGGAAGAAAATAAGAAAAAAATGTAAGCACCCCTTTATACTGGATGTGAGCCAGGAGAATAATACCAAAGAAACAGTTATGAATCCATATCCATACAATAGCTATAATATTTTATTAATTATCTTCCTGTTTCCTATATATTTCCTTTGTATGTTTCAGTGGTACATTCAATGTACTAATTAGTTCAGAAGAGTTCTATCATCAGGCAAATTGTACCCTTCAAATTATCAAGCGTTCCATTCTCAGGCAATACTTTTACCTTGAATTTAATTCTGTTGAATCGTAATATTGTAACCTTTTCCAACTTCCCTTTGCCTTTCCCTGGAATATCACTGCCCGTATTTTTCATTGAAATTTTGAATCACTTTAGTTTTTATTTGAGTCAATCTGAGGTTTTTTAATACATGAGAACATCCTATTTAAATGGACTTAATAGATACTGTCTCATTTTCTATCTTATTTTATCTTTATTGTTTTTATGTTTTTATTCCTGTTTTCTTTCTTTTGCTAGGTGGGCTGTAGTTTTTTTTATATTTGTCTCTTGATCCGGCGATTTAGACACCAGACAGCCTGCTTTTATTTTAGTAATGATTACCTTTATGTCTCTGAATAAAATGTTTAAATTATTTCTCCTGTCAACTTCAGAAAGTAACACTCACTTATTCTCACTTACTTACTGTTTTCTTCTTCGACCGTAGAAATTATCTGTTTTTCTGTCCTCCACTCATACCAGCTTCTCTCACTCTTATTATCTTATCTCTTTGTTCTGCATCCTGTATGATTTTTAAACCTTTAATCCTTGAGATTTTTTTGTTTTCTGTGGTGTTAATTCTGCAGCCACTCTGAATTTTTAGCTCTTAAATCACTGGTCTATTTCCAAAAATCTTTCCTTAACCAGTTCTTTAATCATATTTTCTTGTCTTATCTCCTGTTTCATACAGCTCTCCCTAACCCAACCTTTTAAGAATATCCTTGACAGTGTGAAGCAGTTATAGTAAAATAATTTGTGTTTTCTTCATCTCTCTCTCCCACACTGTTCCTTTTCTTTTGTTCTGACATTTTAATATCACCTCAAGCAAAAGAGTTGATTATTGGCTTGAAGATTCATTTCTTCACTTGATTTAAAATTATCTTGTGTCTATCTATATTCTTCTGACTTTGTGACATATGGCGGCTTTCTTAGTTTTAACATAAATGAGGCTTAAAAAATTGTAAAAATTTTTTATTGTTGTTCACTTAGAAAGGAATTTTTTTAAAAAGTCCCTACTTTGCTATTTTTCAAAGAATCTCTTTAGGATCTTCAGAATCTTTTCAAAGACATTGGTATACACTGCCTAAGAATATGGCATCCGATTTATTATAAAGCCATCACAGCATCAGTACCAGATTACTGAACAGATTTATAAATGCTCTCAATTACAGCAATGATTCACACAAAAATATTTACATTCAAGAGTCCATTTCTCATTAAAACAATCCATTAAGTAAGATGATGCTGAATGTGAATCCACTAGATCTTCTAGCTACGAACAGCCAGAATTCCTGGAAAGAACGTGCTTTGCTGGTAAGTACAAATCAACAAAATTCTCTACAGGTTCTATTTCCAACTGAAAAGCTATGACAGAGAATTTTCCTCACACTTTGTTTTTATGGACTGGTACAGATACAACTTGACAGATTTGTTTCTTTTTTAAGATAATCAGTGGGTCAGACAACTATAATTTCAATCAAGCGGGTTGCCAAAGAAGCAGACACATCCTGACAGAGCAGTGATGTCCCAAATTTGGCCAAATGCCAGTGCTACACACTACTTTAATCATATTACGAGTATTAAGGAGTTTCCTTTTTGTTCAATCGGATAAAAATGGAACAAAGAAGGATCTGCCGCTTATTTGAATCGAAAAGGCAAAAGAAAAAATACTTTGAGGAATAAAAAGAAAGGTAGACTAAAGTCAGATTAGAGAGAACATGGATAGAAACAATATAAGGACACCAAGTGAGAAAGGATAGTAACCTTTTTGAATGAGTTTATATTTTTATCAGCTAGAGGTCTCTGAATGCAAGCAAAAGAAAATGACTTTGCTTAAGCAAAAGAGACATTTCTTAGAAGACTAACAGGGGCCCAGGACTATAACTTGAAGCAGGCAGCTAAAAAACAGGAACTCCAATGATCCACAACACATTCAAGAAGTCTGTGGCCATTAAGATAAAATGCTATTCCAATTGTCCTTAACTCTCTGCTCAAGATCTCACGGGAGGGACTACCTAATGGGGCTACTTTGGGTCAGATGCCCCAGATTATAGTTCTTCCAGATTGTATCCAGTGGGCAAGAACTCATTCCTCCTGAGAAAACAGAGTGCCCTGCTGAAAGGGAAATGGACAATTAAAAGGTTAAACAAGGAAATCTACTACACTACTTAAGCAAAATTCACCATTTTCTTTACACAATCTTATAAATTTAGAGCCTTAACATACTTACCAATCAAATAAAATATAGGGGCTTTGTTTGAATTGTGCTTTAAACAAACCAACTATAAAAAATTATTGCTGGGACAACCAGGGAAATTTGAGTATGGTAACAGATGATATTAGTTCATTCTGTCAGATATGTGCATAGGGGCATGGAAGCTTATGTTTGTTTTTTTAA